CTTCTACCTGGCTTTAATATGAATACTCAAATTTTTTAAACAGAATGAAACTAACGAAAAGACAATCAAAGCATCTGGTATATCGAAGTACACATTCGAAACAGTAAACTCAATAGAAAAAACTGTCTATATGAATGTCTCTAACACTATGAATTGTGCTACAAAACTACAATTATAATCAGCAATTATGCTGAGTATTATTACATCAGATTGATAAATCTTATAGGAAACCTCTGAGAGCAAAACACATACGACTATTATGAAAAACTTTTTTTCAAAAAACTGTAAGATAAAAGTATTTACTCAAGATCAGTAAAACGTCCATAGCTTTGTAATACCTTTATCTATTCTGAACTTTCCTTTTTTTTAAAGGATAGTTCGCATTCGTCTCTGTAAAATTACATATTTCGATCAACTACATACATACAGATCTCTTATAGATATCATCGATTTACTGAGAGGGGTCGAAACTTTTCGGACACCCTTTATTTCAGTAGACATCCGTCACTACAATCGGTTTTTATTCTATCAGAAAATCTCCACTTACATTTCTTTCTGCATCACCATTCACAACTAGATTATCGGTTCTAATAGATCCCCAAGTTCCATTAGATAAAATACAATTAACTAACGTTGAATTTTGCAATTGTTCATTCGATAGAATTGCTCCCGAAAGATTTGCATTCGTAAAGTCCACCGTGTTTTCAGGCCAAACAGAACCAGTAAAATTAGAATCAGTCAATAATGCTCCAAGAAAACTCGTCATATAAAACTTTGTGTTAATGAACCGACTTTTATCGAGAAATGCGAAATTGAACGATGTTTGTGTCACAAACGTATTAGAAAGTAATGTTCGATGCATTATTGCATTTGAAAAATTTGAATGATCAATATCACAACGAATAAATGATGTGTTTGATAAATAAGTACCATATAAATAGAGCCGGGTAAATGAACATTTCTCTTCAATAGTACCTTGTAAAGAAATACCATTAAAGTTTGCACCGTTCAATTGTAACAAAGTTGAAATCGATTCTGATGGATAACGAAAAATTAATTCATTATTATAAAGAAACAAAAGTATATCTTTTTTTCGTTGTGGATCTAATGATCCAAGAGTTGCCAAAGTTATAGCACGCATATCTGTTAAACTTGCTAATGGATCATCTCCTTGAAAAATGGTCAAAATATCACTGAGATATGTTGCCAACAGTGTGTCTTTTTGTTGAATATCTACTTGATCATCTGATTGTTTTCTTAATAGGAATTGTTGTTCTCTATCTTGTTCTAGTTGTTGAGACGTAAGTTTTACTTGTAAAATTGTATCAACAATTGCAAAGACCAAAATCGTTAACGGAATTAATGCTGACATAAGTAATTTTATCCAACGCGGAAAATTTGATTGTACATGAGTAACAGATTGATTACGAAAATTTCTGCTCCTACGATAAATTGGTCGTGCACGTACTAGCGGCATTATTATTGAATTTTATTGTGCAATAAGATTTTTGGTATATATGCAGTTGGCAAAAAAAAAGTACGCAGAAGATATGTTGGAAAAAAATAATGGCGCAAGTGCTATAATTAGAGTTTTATTGCGTATTAGTCATACATATGGGGTTAAAGATGCTGCGATAAATTATTGAGGACGAATGGGTGTGGGAGTGTGGGTGTGCGTGTGGCAGAAGTTGCCGGTATGAGAGTGTATATCATGTCCTTGACATTCACACCCACACCCTTCCATAGAGAGGTAATTTTTTTCTGGACCACTCTGTAATTTCATAACATTCTTTATGAAACCTTCAAATTTTTTTTCTACTAAGTCATACTGCAAAAATCCGTATCCGTGAACAACTTGAAAACCTTCTGATGGTCTTATCTTTTGACATCTGTGGCGAAAAATGTACTACAAAAGACCGTATGAAGTTACTTATTTTGATGATTGATATTGTAAATCAGCAGTCGCAAATCATGCAATCTTGCGTTCCTCGGAAGTAGATTTACGCTTCATTGCAAATAGGGGTGGGTGTGGTGGATGTGGGTATGGAGTGTGGGTATGGGTGTGGGGTGTGGCTGTGGCTGTGGGTGTGGGGTGTGGGTGTGGGTGTGGGGTGTGGGTGTGTGGCGGGGAGTGTGGGGAGGCGCTGGGGGTGTGCGGGTGGGTGTGGGTGTGTGGGGGTTGGCGCGGGCTGAGGCTGTGCGCGCGGCCTCGGCGA